TTTGGCTATATTTTAGGTCATAATAGTCAGTAGCAAGTTTTTTTACCACATTCTACATTCTACATTATACATAAAAAGACCATAGTTTTTATAATCAACAATTTTTTTTCAAATTCCTAGTTCCTTCTGCGAGTTGGAAAAGGGTCTGACGTAAGTCATAGTAATTTAGGCAAACAGAAAACAGTTTTTGCAGAAAAATGACTTATAAATTAGGTAAAAAAACATAAAAACATTTTTTTTTCAGTTTTTTTTTGCAGAAATGTTTTGATTTTTTGGAATTTTTGATTCCCAAAATGGCATTACAAGTCTCCAGCAACTATTTTAACCCGAATAACTTTAAAATTCAGCATAAATAAGCTATTGTAAGCAAGGTCGTTCGATTTACTACCGAAAGCTAATATGATATATCACTCTATTTTCTGCGATGATTATTTGTGCTAGCTAATTTTGCGAGGAAATAAAAAAAGAAGAAAAAATAAAAACACACCCGAAAACAAAGTTCCTCCCCATTTTTCAAATGGTCGGAACAACAACCAATCTACAGCTTTGTTTGGTATGAAAGAGTTGTAGAGTCAACGTAGCAATCGGCAATCCTTCAGGTTGTAGGAATATTTTGAACAGCCTCCGCATGGAGTTGATTTCACTCGTTTTTATATGATTAGATCTGATGATAGGCGTCTAGGATGTCAATATTTCCGAAAATTTAAGGAAGCAAGTTAAGGAAGATAGTTGACAACTGGGGCTAGGGATATTCGTCGCAAATTATCTTGACATTTATTTCAGTTTTTGTATTAGCCATTCAAATTGTTTCTGTCTCTGTCTCTTGATTGGTTGGCTCGAGTACACCCCGCGTGAAATTCTAGGGTAAGTTTGATTCTATTGCTTCTTGGTATGGCAACAGAACTTTTGTTGCTTTATCGAAAAGTTTTTAAGCCCCGGGTTTCAGCTTCATCTGTTGGTTCCAATCATTGCCTATCAAGAAGAGTAGTGATATCCCATGACTTAATCAAACTTGCAACGAAAATTTCTCAAATGTGAGTTTTTATTTAAACCAATTGCTTGAAACACATTTTGTCAGATATAATCAAAATTTAATTAGTAATACATAATTGTTTTTGCTTTGCTTTTGAGCCTATTAAATTGCGTGTGCAACCTGCGATCCAATTTCCACCTGTTTGAATGCTACGTTTGGTTCTGATCACCCCTGGAATGGAATTATGGAGAAAAACTATGGCATTTGGTGCGTGTTTTGTTCCCGGTTTTCACCTCAAGGAACGGTCGTAGTAAGGGGTCAAGTTTGGTATAGTTTTGAAGCCTTTACAGCCTTGTTTTTCCAAGTGTTTTTTTTTCAATTTGATGACTTTCAAATAATTTTTGATAACATCATTTTATAAAATCATACTGTAGTTTTTTCCAGCTATTAGTAACGCTCTGCAAATCATTATTTAATATAATCGCCGTTTACTTGAAAAAGTGAACAAAAAAATTTCGATTTTTCCCTTTATTTTCAGTTTTTTCTTTAAATACCATTTTGCGCTCCGTGTTACCCATTACCCGCACCGAGCGCCCATGCATCATAATCGATTATATTGTCATAATATGGTCAGTATCTACAAAATTACAAAACTATCGGTTTTAATCCATTAAAAATGGATTTTACTCCTAAATTTTTATGCCAAAATAATCCATTATAATAGAATATAGTCATTTATAATGGATTTTTTGAGAAGTTCATCAAGGAATTTACAAATTTTTTCAAAGTTATCTCATTTCCTGTTTAGTGCAGTTGCTACGTATAACGTTTCATAAAATATTATATTTCACAAAAAACTTTTTTCTCTTCTTTTTCAATTCAACTCAGTTTAGCCCCCTTTTTTACCCCTCCCACTCTCTGGCAGTCTACCACAGCCGCCAATCGCCAACCCCCCCCCCCCCCCCTTATGGTTGAACATGCGGATCATTATTTATTGGTAGACTTCGGGTGAGGGGGTTAGTAATTGACACCCCCCAGTTTACCCTCCCTCTCTTTAGTTGGGGAGGAGGTATAAAAAAAATTGAGGGGCTGACGTTGAGACATGGAATTTAGCGAAAGACATGGCATACATTGATGTGGCAAAATTTTTGCAAAAAGAATCGAATTTAGCTCTAAAAATAAAATGGATAATAATCGATTGTATTGGGTTGTGATTGGTTTTCATTTCAAAAATGATCGGTTATCGTGGATTATCTTGGCAAAAAAATCGATTTCCTTGCCAAAATTAATGGATTATACTCAATTTTGATGGATTATAATGGATTATTTTTTTCAAAAATAATCGATTGTAATGGCAATTTAACCAATTTCATGATCTGATTTTTACATCTGTAATGGATTGTAATGGATTTTTTCTGTCTCAAGAATCCATTATAATGGGTTAAATCCCATGAGCGCTCGGTGGGGTTATCCATATTATATAAATGTCGCTTTACCAAGTTTCGTTCAATTATCAATTATTGTTTCTTCGGAAATTTTTTGATTTTGTTCAAATATTTGCATAGCCCAAGCAAACATTCGTTCAGAGCCTAATCTGTCATTTCGAGGTTTAATCAGGTGAAAGGCCATTATGGCAATGCTTACTTTTACTATTTAATGTCTTTGTTAAGGATAACCTTCAATAACCTTCATAACCTAAAATTAAATAAAACAAATCGGATCTCAATCATCAAAATGATTCAACTTGCACACTTGTTTATAGCTTTTTTCTATATCTCAATTGGTAAGTGACTCTTTCTAGCTTAATTTTGTTCAACACATTTTGGGTTGACTGTTAAGGATACCTCTGTATGCCATATTTTTTTTAGCAAAAAGCTATTTCTTTTTTTTTAGTCCGCGTGTTTTGCCTGATCAGCTCCAAAAATTGAATTATAGTCACAAAAAAACCCATTTATTTTCAGTTTGATTGAATCATTTGGAGCCCAAAAAATCTTTATAGTATTTTCAAAAGCCATAATTTTTATTTTTGGCAATTATGGCTTCGATGTTAAAAAAACGCTGGAACAACGAATGAGAAAGAAAATGAAATTACACGAGGGGAATGTTTTCAGTCAACAAAAAGTAGCGCAACAAAATAAACTTACCTTTAAGTCTTTCCTGTCTGAATTGAAGACAAATTTAATCATTTTTTAATGGCATCTTATTGGTAACTTTATGCTAGAAAATGATCTGCATCTAACTCAAAAATATGATATTATCAGATTTAACAATTGATTTTTTATGGCTTATCGGTACTGACAAGAAGTGGATTGCAATCGATGTTATCATACAGATAGATAATCTAGCAAAGACCTAAAAGTCTATTCGAATCGATTTAAAATCGATTTAGTTTGATACAAAAACAGTTTTAAAAATCAACTTCGATCGATTCTAAATCGATTCAAATCCATTGTGACAAAAATAATCCATTCCATATCGGTTTACGTATCCAAATGGGCTATTTTCATACTATATTATCTGTACAAAAGCCGATTCAAGTCGATTTCAATCTCAAGTTTGTCAGTGCGGGTGTATGCTGTCATATTCCGGAAAAATAGCTACAACAAACACCTGATATTAAAGGTCTTCTATTTACCGCAGTGCAATGTAGAGAGGCAGTGCACATGATTCTACCAGATCAAGGGGATGTCTTAGGACACAAATGCATGCAGTTCAGGGAAGTATTTTTCATATTTTTACAAAAATTATTTAAAACATGTGAGTTTTTTTTTTGTTTTTCATGAAAAATGACGTATGAGAAAATTTTTTTGGAATATTTCATTGACTCGACGACCATTGTTTTTTATTGCTTTTTTTGAAAAGTATTATTAAGTTATTAATAAAAGTTTGAGCTTTGTTGTTTTTGTTGTTTTTCTTTGTTTTTCATGAAAAATGACGAATAAGAAAAAAAATTTGGAAAATTTCATTGACTCGACGACCATTGCTTTCTTGTTTTTTTAATGAAATTTATTTTAAAATTATTAGTAAAAATTTGAGCTTTGTTTTTTTGCTTTTCATGAAAAAAGACCTGTGAGAAAAAAATTTGGAAAGTTTCATTGACTCGACGACCATTGTTTTTTATTGCTTTTTTTTGAAATTTTTATCAAATCATCAATAAAAATTTGAGTTTTGTTGTTTTTTTTTGTTTTTCATGAAAAATGACGTGTGAGAAAAAAGTTTTGGCAATTTTTATTGACTCTATGACCATTGCTTTTTTGTTTATTTTTTGAAAATTATTATTATAAGGTTCGGGAAACAAATCTAGCATAGGGTCAAAAAAATGAAGAAAAAAATTTGAACAATTTTTCAAGCTATTTCTTAGATTTTTTACATTTTTCTACATTTAGTGAGGTACGCAGCAATTGAATTTTGTTGTTCATTTTATCATATGCACTACACTAGAAATAGTGTAGTATGTTATTATAATAGTAGGATATTGAAGTAGTACTACATTGTAGTATATTATTATATAATAATCAGGGGCGGATTTAGGGGGGGGGGGAGGCGGACGCTCCCCCGCATTCAAGGATTCGACCCCCTGCCGACCCAAAGGATCCCCCTTTGTACTTTTTTTGAGATATCCATTATTGGTGATGGACCCTAAAAATGTTCTAAAAATTTTCTAAAGGCGCCTTTGGCGCCAATATATATACTAAGTTTGAGGGGGGACCGCACGCCGAAAAAAAAATTGCGATTTTTCGGTCAAAATTTTTTCAAAAAGTGCCTAATAACGCCTTTTTGGCCTGTTTTTTTCAAAGTTTTGCCTGCGGCGCAGAAAATTTGGCCAAAATAGGGACAAAACAGTGCTTTGGGGAGCTCGAAAAATCGATTTGATCGACCTAAAAAAAAGGTCGACAAAATTTTCGAAAATGTTTTGAAAATGCGCCTCCCCCTCGAGAAAATTGTAGATCCGCCCCTAGTTTTTTGATAGTTTAGTTCATAAACGTTGTATTGATATTACGTCTTTGTTTGCAGCCAGTACTTCTGTATTGCGGGCTACTACACCGATAAACAGATAAGTGATCGACAGCCATCAGAGAGTGATGAAAGCGTGTTCAGGGAGAGGGTGGCCATCCATTATCGCAAAATTAACTTCTTCTCCTTCGACTCCGAAGATCGAAGTGAGCTTGTACATTTTTTTATCATACAATTTCCATAAATGAGAAACTACTTCTTGTCATATGTACAGGAAATTGTTAAAAATCTCTATCTAAACATTTTTTCTTGTAATAAAAACTGTATGGATAGAGTTTTTCCAATGACCAAAAAGTTGATTTTTTGTTTCTAAATTTATTTTCTGAAAAATTTGGGTTGTGTTAACCAAACGCAAGTGACAAAAATATTGATTTACTCAAAGCGCCAAAGTTTGGAGGGTCTCGCTTACAATGCATAGAAAACGACCTGAATTATTTTCGAGCTGTTTTTCAAAATTTCTTTAAGTAACAATCTTTTAAATTTTGGCTGAAATTTCAACGATGATGATTAATTTAAAATTTGAACTTTCAAATTATCAGAAATTGATCAAGGCATAAAAAAATATGCAATAAAAAACATAGGAGTTTTCAGCGCTTTTGAAAAAATTAATTGCGGAAAAGAAAAAATCCTACATTAGTTTATCCAGGACCAAGATATGCACACAAAAAATTAGATTTTGCTTGCAAAATTTATTTTTGGAAAATGTTCGTTTGCATAAAAAATTCGATTTAAGGTTGAAAAAACCAAAAAGATTATGGGGCAATTTCAAAATTACTTGGCAAAAATTTTGTGTCGCCGTCAAAAAATGCTAGTCATACATTTTCCATATATGGTAGTTGTATGATAAGCATATTTTTTCTCGAAAAACTTAAACCTGGGTTTTTTTATCACCAGACTGTTTGATTAGAATCAAACAGCCTCAGAAATTATTTTATATCTTTTTTCAACCACTTATAGAAATTGTATGACAATTATTTTTCTATAATATTGTTTGATAGGCATTTTTGGTGTATGGAGGTCAACCCGAGAGCCTTAAATGCCAATCATTGTCCCGCATTTTTTTTTGTTTATTGTCATTTTAATCGGTTTTTTTGTTAAAACAATCAATTTTATTTCATGATTATCTACTCTAATTGATCAACTTTGGCACTGAAATTGAATGTTTTTGTTAAGATTATTCATTAAAGTTGATAAATTTTGAAGAAAAAATCCATTATAATCTATTATACTGTATTAGAACATTTTTCTTTTTATCAAGATTTCCAGTAACGAGCGCTCATTACGGTGACATCGCTATGTAAAAAGACAAACAGTTGCATTTAGCATAACAACATATTTTTGAGGCGAATTCGCTTGCGGGGGGACCGATCGTTTAGCAGACCAATCTTTTAGCTTAAAAAATGAAAAATGATTTTTTTAGCAGACCAGCTTAATAAATTGAAACATGATTGATTCACACACTCAAAAAGACGCTCAATCTGGGGTCAAGCTTCCTCAATTAAGACAATTATCTCACGATTTGTCAACAAAACTATCAATTTCAAAAACGCAACAGTAAATTAGCGGCAAAACAAAGATTTACGCGCACAAAAACACTCGTGATGAATTGAAGCACAGCGTAGCAAGCGGTCACTAATCGCCAATGCCGCGTTTGAAGTTAGCTTTTTGACTTCAGAATTGTTCTGAGTCTGCTGAAAGATTGGCCTGCTAAAAAAAGGTCTGCTAAAATCCCTATCACACGCTTGCGTCAATTCATTTTTGTGAATTTCGGAGCTGAGTTAAATTGCTGTTTACTCCTTTAAAGAATTGTACACAATGCGCGCCATTTAACATTAAGTGGTGAATCAGAAGGGAAGCCTTGTTAATTTTTTTATCTGAAGTATCATTGGAGTATTTCAAATTCGTTTTAGACGGTTGCTGCTCGTATCAGGTCAACTCGTACCTTGCTAATGGACAAGCAGTTGGACTTTCACCAATACAGTATGAAATGAAGCTTTGTGACCTTGATAAGAGAAGACGGACGATGGATCTAGTTTATATAAAAGTAGGTGAAGGAGCTGTCTAACCGTAGGAGTTTTTTTTCGCGAATTCAGATACCAGAAAGCGGGTTTACATATTGAAATTTGTTCAGCTGGATTTTGGATTTTAGAAAAATTTGACCAAAAATTATTTTCACCGTCAAAACTATACCCGGTTTGAAGTCCCACCCATCATTGAATTCCACCAATACTCACCGCTAATTCGGTGGTATATCCCAATAAAAACTGTTTTCTATCGCTATGAAAGTAAAATAGTCCAGTTAACTATAAACAAATATTATTTACTCCGCTAAACCAGGGTTTCCTCAATGATGACTTGATGGAAAATCGGATTTTTTTTTAAATCTTCAAAAATCTAAAAATCTTCAAAATTATAAAAAGATATTCTTCTCGCAATCAGAGAGTTTGATGATTGCCACCTCGGCCAGCTTTGGTTTTTGTTTACAGGCGATTTGAAAAACGAAACGATTATGAATTCTTAAATTGAAAAACAAACGAAGCTGTCGTTGCAAAAAAAAACAGGCAAAGCGCGTGTTACGTAACCTACACGACGAAACAAGCTACCGGCGAGAAATTGATTCAAAATTCTTCTTGACTGGAAACTTCACCTGACAGGGTCAAAGTTTCCCTCATTGGACCCAAAACAAACCATTCAAAAATGAACAGAAGCCGTTTTGAACAAAACGTTGAAAAGACAAAATGTTTGATGACTAATTTAAAAAAAAATCTAAAACATTTTTGCCTGAATCATTACGAGGCCAAACTGTGCGCCGGATAGGCACACAATTTTGTGTATGTATAATCCTCGATTATAGAAATTAACCTTTAACATATTCAAAAATGTAGGTGGATTCCACTTACAAAAATTCCGTGGATTTCGCATACAAATAACTGTAACGTGAACTTTATCGAAACATTTGTTGTGTCGCGGATTCCTGAACAAACGAATAAGCTAGTTGTTCTGGATTCCGGAACTGTAAGTGGGTTCCGCAAAATGTAAGTTGAATCAGCAAATGTAAGTGGAATCCGCAAACTGTAAGTTGATTCCAAATTTTGTTTATTACGGAACTTGCATATGAAAAACTAAAAGCTAGAGCTGAAATTTTTATCTTTAGCTAAGAGGAATTTAAAAGAAAGGACACAACCTTTGTCAGCGGAATCCACGAACAAATCTTAAAACATTAGGTACCTAAATCTGTGGATGTCATCTTTTAGTATTTGGGATACATATCCCAGCAAACAACTTTTGGACTCATATATTTGGAAACACAACACCAAATAAATTCACCAATTGGAGTCATTAGGTTGAGAGTGTTTAGAAACACAAAAACACCAAATAGTTTTGTGTTTGGGATCCCATTGATCCCAAATACTGGTCACTATTTGGGATTCCATTGATCTCAAATACTGAAGCTAGGTGTTTGACAGAAATGGAGATCGTAAGGTAGGCATTTCAACAGGTAGCTGATGAACGTAGTAATTTAATAATTGAGATTGAATTTTCTGGTGACCACCTAGTATTTAAAAGATATAACTTTAAACGTTATTACATAGATACATATATCTGAGCGGGATCCGCAAGCAAAATGCGAATTTCACCCACAATTTGCTTATTCCACTTACAATTTGCGGATTCCGCTTACAGTTGCAGATATCGCTACATCTCAATATAACTATACACTTGTCTTTTTATTTGTTTGTGGGTTCCACAAATTGTTCTGGATTCCGTAAAAACGGTTGCGGATTCCGCAATTTCGCCTATTTTTGCAACGATTTTGAGCAGTACAGTCTTTTAGGTATTTGTTTGTGGAGTCCAAAACAGGAAAGAAGATCAACGAAAAGTAAGAATGTTGCGGATTTAGAGACAAAGCTGATTTTGGCCTGTTGCGGAATCCGCTTACAATGCACAGAATGACCATTTTGGCCTCGTAATGATTTTTTTTTTTCACTTTTCAAGGTTTGCAAAGGAAGATTGACGGGTTTTACGTGGTTAATCTTGACTTTGCAAACACGATTTAAGCTATTTAAATGATGTCGAAGCAAATATTGTTGCTCTATTTTTTGAAAACTACAGACAGCTTGGAAGATAATGTAGAGCAAAGTCCAAAAACCGAGATAATTTTCAAAATTTGAAGTTATTCGGAACATCAACTGTCGCTCGAACCACGACTAGCAAGGCTTCATGTTGTATACCATTACGCTTTGTGGTATCTGAAATTCTTTTTGAAAAAAAAAATAAGAATTTTAAACTTGTTTTTCTAGGTTTTAATAATACAAGAAAAAATGCATTGGCTGTCGAAAGTTACAAGCATTGTATTCATAGGAGCAGTCTTGTCTGTATGTAAGTTATAACTATTTTCAAGGCTCGCTGGGATCCCCAGTTTTGTATGAACGTTGTCAGTCAAGTGGGATATGGGGAGGGGGAGCTGCGAATAGTCGGTGGGCGGGGAAGAAGACATCGGTTCATGGTTCCCCCCCTAGGTGGGAGCAATTTCGAACAAGTTTACATCTTCAATGGGCCCAGGGTTCACATCATGATGAATATTGACTGGTTTGCAACATTTGTGGTTTGTGAGGAAAAGCCAGAGCTATGCCCGGAACTGCAACTGAATAATACGAGAAGAAATTCGGCTTGAGAAGAGGCAACTTACACTCATTTACACTCATTCTGAAAGTAACTGTGACCTAAATTTTGGTGAAAAAAAATATCCTGACTGTTAAGTTTTTCAATCAGTTTTCAAATCAGTGTTGAGTTTTTCAATTTGAGTGGGGGGGGGGGGTGCTGAATTAGGTCAAAATAGGGTCTCTATGAAAAATTTGGGAGAGCTCGGAAAATGTTTTGAAAATCCGCCCAGCCTCGAGAAACCCATAAATCGTGATTATAGCTGAGCTAGATTGAATACTGCCTGCCAGTGAGTAAAAATTTCCAGCCCATGAGAATTAAACGGACAAATTCCATGCCCACTTGATCCAAACCTAAAATGAGACATTAACTCGAGATATTCTCTCTAAAAATAGGCAGCTGATTCTGAGCTTATACGCGATCAGCGAATCTCAGCAAGTAAATTGATTTTTGGTATGCAATTTCCAAAAAAAAATTGTTCGCCAAAAGAAATTGTTCACTGGAAAAATTTGGTATACAATTTCCAAAAAAAAATTGTTCACTAAAAGAAATTTTTCACTGGAAAATCAAAAGGAAAAATTGATAAAAACAAAGTTCGAAAAGCAGATCGATTTAGAATCGAAAACAGTTCCATTATACTTCCAGTATAACGGATTACCACGCAGCTTTTAGACATAGTAGCTGGTTTAAATATATTTTTACCGACCTCTTTTGCAGTGAATTGAATTGTTAAGTTTGCATCAGTTTCAATTTATTCTAGGCCCGCTCGAATTACAAAATTCCACAACATTTTTTTGAATATGCAGAACAAAAGGCCTCTCAATATTTTCAATTTAAATGATTACTTTAGTGAGATTTGCAGATTTGAAAACTTTTCATGGAAAATGGTTCGCGTTTACAAATACAAAGTTTAAAAGTATGCAAAACAAAAGGCCTCGCACAATTTTTAACCCAGTTGAGTAATTTACAAAGATTTGCTGATTAGATTTTTGTTGGAAAATGCTGCGCATTAACTTGTAAAAACCAAATTTTGTTGAATATTTAGCGATGATGAGACGGTGCAAAGCATGTATTTGAGACTATAAAAAAATCAACTGTTGATTTGATGTGGATTCGATAAACTGTGGTTGGAACTTTTCATTTCTTGCTTTATTCTGAAAAATGGTATTTACAGCGCTGAATCAGCACTGAATTAAACTCTTTTACAATTCCAGTTATTCTTCTACATAAACGAATTGACAGCCGAGTGAACATTCTGGGAGAAAACGTCAAGAAAAAATTATCAGACTTTTACTGGAACCACTTTCTATCTTGTTACGACTACTACAACATACAAACTTGGACCTTATTGCATTTATATCGAAACAGACTAGAAAACAAAAACTTCCGAGGGCCTGATAAGCCCTTACATTTATTGGAGAAACCCATAATTATTATTATTATTATGATTGATTTTTGCTCTTTTATTTGTCCTCTTTATTATTTCTGAACTTTAACTTAACAAAATTTAATTGAAACGACTTATGATGTTCTGAATTGCAAAAACAATTTGTCTGCGTATATAATTGAACAGTTTTTTCAACGATTCGCTCATCTATATTGCAGTGTTAACAATCTCTATGCATTGGTTGTAACTTTACGAAAAAGCAAGCAAGGAGACCCGGGATACATGTCCATGAAAGTCCATCCCTTGAGCCATTACAGGATTTTCAAAGAATTCTGTTAGCAACCAGGCCTGGGCTGCCAGTTTTTTTGTGGTTGTTGAAAATAACAATATGCAAACAGTAATGAACCTGTTGAAAAAAATTGCAAAAGATTTCTTTTTATTAACACAGTAACTAGTTAAGTTACAGGAACTTCACAGAAAAACTGCATTTGGAGGTTTACTACTTAGGTTAAATTAGTGAAACTCCACAAACTTATGGAGGGTAATTAAGAAGGGTACATTTGTGTATATGGCTACAGAGCTTCTATCGTGAAAAAAATGTTTTTTGAAAAGTGGGATATTTTTTGACAGATGATGGTCAATCTGAAATTAATTTGAAAACTGAGAAAAATTTATTGTGACTCGAACACAGTACGGTAATTTTAGTCATTTTGCCTGCATAAACAAATTTACTGGCAAAAAACTGCTTTTAATTTCGTCACATATTAAAATTGTTCAAAAATGTGGTAAAAGCGTTGATTTTTTGGATTTCTTGAAAAATGTTGGGGCATTCTTTTCTAGGATTTTTATTTCATAGTAATCAATCCGAAGTTTCAACCTTTCCGTCGATTAATTTTTATGAAAACTGTAGACTTCAAACGCTTTTTAAAGTTTTGTTTTCAAAATTTATCTTAAACATCCTGGCAGAGTTCCTGGATGATTACTGCCGACAAAGCTCCAGGATTGCCCCGGACTCTTTATTTTCTTGGCCGGGTTTTTAGTCCAAGCTATATAACCTGGATACGAACTGGGAAAACATGTAAATGGCAACGTTAATGATCAGCGCTGAAGGGCACTGATCATGATTTTACACTGTTGATGGGCTGAGTTTTGCTGCGATTTCAACCCAGTCACCACCCTCATGTTCGATCCCGCACCTTTATCCCCTACCACATTCATCCAACCCATTTTTATGATCATGATCCGCCTTGAACTAGAAAAAAATAAAAAAAGTTTAACTTTTGATTGTTTTGAAAAGAAAATTTGAATTGATTCTTATGAAATGATTCTTTTGATTCTTTGGAAAATTTGGTGTCCGTTTGCTCTAAATTCTCAACTGATTCTATTTCAAAGTATATCACTCGTGACTTTTAAACACCTGATTTTTTCGAAAACTATGAACGCCTTACAAAAACCGCAAAAAAACTGCTGGCGTTGTTTAGAAATCTCTTTTTATAGTTCCGAATTTCTTAACGAAAGTAACGGAATATTTGTGCTCGGGGCATTTTTTTTTCTTCAAAATAATTCTCCTCAAAATCAAGCATATGCTCCTAAATATTATTCCAGTAGACATTTTCGAAGAAAGTGATGGAATTTTCAAGCTCGAAATGGTTGTTTTTTTTTAAAAATAAATTTCAACTACTTAACTAGCAATTATTAAAAGTGCTTTTTTGTCTGTGATTCGAAAAGTATTGCTGTTTTGAGTTGAATTTCACAGAACTATTTAAGGAACTATTCCATCTGTAAGTATTTTTTGTGAAGTTATAACGGATAAAAAAATCTCGTGCTAATATCGTGTAAGCAGAGATTTAATCCGTCTAACAAACTGTTCCAAATTGAAAATTTGGCGTGCTAATTGGTCGATTTAATAATTTGATGTATGCAAAAAATATCACTTTGTTTTTTGCATCGCGTGTGGAGGTTGATTTTCAAAAAAAAATACAAAGAAAAATTACAACTTTTTTCTATTGTTTGTAAACAAAATAACATATTTTTTTCCACAAAAACTAATTCATAGACTTTAAAACGAAGTGGAAACTTGTAAGGTTTGGCGCTGATATGAGCAGCCTTGCTCGTTTTAGATTGAATTGATGTTGAAATAACAACTGCTTTTTAATTTTCTTCTGCTACTTGTTCGGCAAAAAAAGTTTTTTAGATAGAATTTTTACGAGAATTTTTACATAACTTCAATGCTTTTCCATTTAAAAAAACATTCAAAACAAACTCTGACATTTCTTTGCACATAACTTCGTGATAAATGTTTTGCCAAAAATTATTCAAAAATGAATTGCACTTTTATGCAGAATAACGGATAATGGATTTTAATGGTACTGTTAAAATTTTGTTTGCTAAGTTTGAATCATTTTTAACTAGAGAGTCCTTAATTCGAATTGATTTTGAATAAAGTTTTCAAAAACTCGACTATTTAATTTGAAATAATTAACGCAACCTGCAGAAGAAACGGATAAATCCCTGAATTTTATGCTTACAAGCTTTCCAAGTTTTTGTCATTTCTCGGTAAAAAATTTGACTAAAAAATTTTTGAATCATGAACTGCATTGTAACCTTTTTCTTTTCTAGCCAGAAAAAAATGATTCCTCTGAGTCAATCCTTAAAATTGCGAGTATGGTTGATTTTCGGAAAAAAAACAATATTGTAGATTTGATAATTCAAAATATTTGAAAGGCCGTATTATGTCATAATTCATACATTGCAGGCATCACCCCGACTGTTTGGACTCTACTCTAAATACAATTAAAAATTAAAAGTTTGTTGCACAAGAAAAAAATTTTCTAATGTTCACAAAAAAGAGACATTTTTGGGCTTAAAAAATTTTATCCACATAGGCGCATAAAGCACAAAGTGAAATGATTTGCGTCTGGTATCGCTTCAATATCATTGAACCAAACAGTTTGCCTCAATTCATTTTTTAATTTAAGTGATTTGCCATTTACGCTTATGCTGCACAAAAAATTGTACGCATTTAACTATCGCAATTTGAAGTAGTTCTAAAATCAAACCATTCTAAAGTTGAGGAAAATAATCACAGGTGAATAATGTTTTTTTCTACTTTGAGCACTGGGTAAGAATGTTTTTCAGCCTATATGAAAATGTTGACAAAATTGCTCGTTAAAGAGTCAGAATTACCCCCGCCAAATGAGAAAAAGAATTAACCCGATTAAAAATTTTCCGTAATTTCTTAAAAGTTTCAGGAAACAATAAAAGTTCTCGAACTCTAATTCTATTTAATCTACGATAAATTAAAACAAATAACAATCAGTTCAGTTTTCCGTTTGGTTGACTGGGGACCAGCGTCAACTGTTTCTCGAAATAGCGTTTCCACCCCTCGGAGTTGGGCACAAATTCGGCTTCTCATCACAAATTATGTTAGCAATGAACCACTTAAAGTTTAAATTTGCCGCAATCCGGGGTCCAGTGAGAGCAATGAATTCTCCCCTGTTTTCTTTTCCCAGAGGAGGAATTACAAAGTTGAATCTCTTTCCACGACCTCCAACAATTTTCAAGTCGCCTTTGCCGAATCCGACTTGGCTGATGACGTTTACACACAAGTCACTGCTCCATTTGGCCTGAAAAAAAATGTTTCACAAGGTTTTTAGTTTATGGACACTCAATTCAAAACCTAAAGCAGATTTCTTACAATATCTTTTAGCTATAGGCAGGGGCGGATTTGGGGTTTTCTCGAGAGGGGGTGGATTTTGAAAATTTGTTCGAAATTTTAACGTCTTTTTTTTTTAGCTCGACCAAACTGATTTTCCTAGCCATAAAGACACCAATCTGAATAAATATTCTGACCAAATATTCTGACCAAATATTCTGAGCCGCTGGCAAAGTTCTGAAGAAACATGAAGTTTCCGCAGGCAAAGTTCTGAGCCGCAGGAAAAGTTCTGAAAAAAGGCGTTTTTGGGTACTTTTTGAAAAATTTGACCAAAAAAATGCGTTTTATAGGCGCGCGCTTGCCCCTCAAAATTAGTATATATTGACGCGAAAGGCGCCTTTAGAAAAGTTTTAGGGTCCGTCAGCCAAAATTGGAGATCTCAAAATAGAACAAAGAGAGACCCTTTGGGTCGTCAGGGGTCGAATCTCTGACGTGGAAGAAGCGTCCAACGCTGAACCCCCCGTCACGCCCCCGCCCCCCTCCTAAATCCGCTGGTGGCTTTAAGCTTGTATATCTTTTTTTTCTAAATCAGCGCATTCTTTAATCTCAGCTCCTCTCCCCTCCCGTTTTAAAAAAGATATCTCTAATTAATACATCTAAATTAAAATCCAATACTTGAAAAAAGATATTGCAGAGAATAGCAGCTTAATCGTTTCAAAAAACTGCTGTTGAATCTAACACTATTCGAAAAAAGTAGGGCAGTAATTATACCTTGATGTATACCAAATCCATAGTTCGTGTTGAGTTGCTGAGGTTGAATATTTTATCCACGTATTGGCTCGGCGAGAGGCCATTGGCTTGTCCGTGTAGGGTGTATGATTGCACTTGATAGTTGCAGCAACCCACTGAAAAGTTAAATAATACCAACTGAAATTAATTATTAACCAATATCAAAATGGTAGTTTTTTAGTAAATTTTGAAGTCATTTTTATTATATGTTGACTTCTAAACTTTGCCACTTTTTTCGCGTTCTAGAACACTTTTGTCGCCCAATTACCTCAAGTTTATCTATAACTTTGTTTTTTGTACGTTACATTTTTGTATTTTCAAGTGCTTTTGATTAATTAATTAAAACAAAACGCATCAAGGCAGCGACAGTAAAAATGATGAAAAAAACATGTTGATCACTTTGTTTCATAAAAAAAATTAAGTAATACTTTTTCCATCTTCTGGCTTGAAGGAGAACCAGTTGATCTCGCGGTAATGATTGACAATGACTTTGAAAAAGTTGTCCCTGTCAGTGTGCTGTGGCTGTCGGTCACCATAGTTCATTGTGGACCGAAATCCCATCAAGCAGAAGTGGTAACTAAAAAGTTTTCTGTTACCTTTTTAGTAATTCCACTATAAGAAAAACTATAGCAATTATATTTGTATTTTTGAACTAAAAAACGCCAATGAAAAATTTTGGGGGTTCGTTTTGAAGCAGTTTAGAAAAAAAATTAGACCATCCAAGTTAGTTCCTGAAATTATTTCCCTCATCTTGGTTTCCTGAAATTTTTCAAAATCTAAAATTGTTTATAAGGGAATATTTTTTTAGTCCGATAGGTGTGTGTTTTACTTTTTTCAGTTCAATTAGGCTGCTCAATTTGATGCAATCTTGCGTGGAGGTGCGTTTTGTTTTGTATTTTTGGTGATGCAGAGGTTGTTCACTGAGGTGTTGCTTGAAACGACAAGACAGAGTTTGTGAAAACTAGATCTTAGAAGGGTGATCGGACGGTCCTTGTGGAAGTCAGCAAAGGAAAAGAGAAGCAATTGGTTATACAAGGAGACTATAGGTCGACATTGTTATTTTCTAATGTCTTTTGTGCTCAGTTTCCTCTCATTGGTGATTGTCATCGCTGAAAAAGGTTCATTGGCAAAAGAAGGTCCACGTTTTCTACAGTGGGTTAATCTCGTTCCGCTCTGTGTTTCTATGAAATCTGGTGTTAGAATTTTAATGTTATAGATCTATTTCTGTTTTGATTTAATTTAGAAACACAAAATTATGTTTTCAACTTTTTTGCCTAATTTTTCTGCCAGTTATGTGGGTTATAATTAGTGTGATTTTATATGGTGGGTTAGGCCGACGATTATAGTTTGGGGGTGCTCCAATAGAAAGGGCTTTTCATTCTACATTTTTCTTCTGCAATCTTTTCTTGATCCTATTCAGGGTAGTGACCCAGCGAGTCATGTTTAATTATAAGCCTAGTCTTATAATGCTGGTTACGGATTCAGATTTGATTTTTATGGTTCCACTTTATTCCAAAAAAAAAGAAACAAGTATTCGGCTTTGGTGATATATGTGGGATGTCTTGGGGAGGTATTTAAATGTGGGATGTCTTTATACAGGCCATTGTTTTTAGCTTGAGAAACCGACGGCTGCTGTTACTTTCGTAACTAAGTAAGAGAAACTAAAGCGATCAAAATATAATTTTTGATATATTTAACTATTTTCAACCGTCACACTATAAACTTTGAAACAAGTTTTTAATGCAAAATTAGCAATTGTTCATTTTTCTATTTTTTTGGTTTGTCTGTTGTTTTAGGTTTGTTTTTGTTGGGAATTTTTTCTTTCGTTACTTCAAATGCTATGCGTCTTACACTTTTCATAAATGACCTTAAAGTTCTCTGGAATAGAAAACTTTCCTGATAACAAGTGGTCGTTTGTTTCCTTTTGAAAGAAATTGATAATTCTTGCTGTTTTTGAAGTCATTTTTAAGTCATATTGGTTTGCTTACGTTTTCATCAATTTATCGTTGTCCTTAAATGTATCTGATATTATGATTACTTTATTTGTCTGATTATCTTGATTTTTTGTTATGAAGGTTTCGATACCAATTCGATTATCTTGCTGATTGAAAAAAGTTCCAAGCATAGAACAAGGAGATTGATATGAATTATACAAATGTAATTTTTGTTTTGGGCTTGACTTTTCTGAACTGAAGTAACTTGTTATTTTGTTGTTCGACTCCATAGGCTATTTTTGGTCTTTTCCATGTATTGATAAAACGACTAAATTGTTTTTTTTTTCATTTTTATGATCTGTTTGTCTGTTTGTTGTGTTTTTCTGCCTTTCCGGGTCTCGTGCCTTCAACAATATAGATTCCATTTATGTTGGAAATGGGTTTTCTTTCGTGCATACTAATTTTTTTAGTTAGTTGCTCTGAAAAATCTTATTTTGAGACGACGTTTTTTAACTTCTTTGGCGATTGTGATTTTTTCGAACTTGTTATTACTGATTGTATATTCATGATGAAAACAAAGAAAACATCATTAAACATCTTTTCATTCAGTCATACTAGCCTATTGGCAAAAAAACTGACTGAAAAACAATTGTCCGTATATAATCTGCTTAAAAGTTTTTTTTGCAATCTGCTTGTATAAGGGTTGTATATTGCTGTTTTTCTATCTAAATATAATCTTTAGATGATTTTTTAGTTTATCGTTAAAATTTATTGGAAATCTGTGTATATTCCTTTAAGATAAGTATATCATAAACTGTCGATAGTTTGTTGGTTTTTCCTACCAAAACAAATATCGAATCAAAAAGTGATCACATATTAAAAGTGGGATTAAGTATAAAATTTCAAACTTAAAATCTCTTGGTAAGTGTTTAAGAAAACGATCTAAATCACAATTTGATTTTAAACGGTTGCAAGTCTAGTTTAGAGTGATAATCGATTGCTAGTATAGTTTTGGCATGCCGCGAGTTCTTACGGTGGTGCAAAATAGAATAATTTGTTTAAAAGGTTGAAGATTGTACAGATAGCGAAAAGAGAAGGCAAATGTTTCACAGCAAGCACATAGTTTCAATATAGGAAAGATATGAAAGATTTTTCGGAAAAAAATCAAAAACAAATCAGAAAGCTTTTTCTGAAAATAAGATTTTTTGTATTACAGAAGGGTGAAACTCAAAAAACAACAAAGCAGCAAAGTTAATGAAATTACGCAATTGATAAGTTCCGTGTAGATTGGTGGAATGATAAGGTATTTTAATTTTAAGCAGTAACTGATTCTAAACAGTGCAACAGTAAAATTCACGACTTTTTTTCTCGACCCGCACAAAAAGCTTTGATGTTTTTTTGCGGCGCAATTGAAAACTTCTTATTACATGTTTTCAGTAACGGATCTAGGGTGGGAGGGGGTGGGAAGGGTGGAAACCCTCTCCTTTCAGGGATTCGACCCCCGACCCAAAGGGTCCCTTCTTTGCACTATTTTGAGCTGACGGACCCCTAAATTTTTCTAAAGGCGCCTTTGGCGCCAATAAATATTAATTTTGAGGTGGGAGCGCGCGCCGAAAAAACGCAATTTTTTGGTCAAAAATTTTTTAAAAACGCCTTTTTTCAAAAACTTGCCTGCGGCGCAGAAATTTTGGTCAAATTATGGTCTGTATAGTGGTTTTGGAGAGCTCAGAAAATCAATTTGGTCGACCTAAAAAAAAAAAAAGATCGACAAAACTTTCGATAATCCGCCCCCCCCCCCTCGAGGAAATCCATCCCCCCTCGAGAAAATCCGCCCCTGCTTGTTTTGGTTGTGACTACTTTGTGCAAAGATCACACTCAAAAACTGTTTTTTTATTTACATGTGTATCTGGTTTGTATAAATATTTTCAAATCTCAAAGTTAGTAGTCGTTCGCTTTGCAAGTAGAACAGGATATTGAGATTACACATATCACTGAAATACTAGATGTTCCGACTTTCGAAGAAAACGGAATATTTATGCTCGGTGTGTTCTTTTTTTATTCAGTCAATTTTCGTCGATCGAAATATTAGCTTTCAACAAAATTTTTTCAACCCCCATTGAAGATATCGACTTCTTAAGTTCAAATTTAAACAGATATTCCACCTCCGATTATTTTTTTTTAAGTTCTGGGGGTGTGAAAAGTGCCAATTGGCCATTTTTTGAACTAATTTATGCGCGCTTTGAAGAGTTTATCCATGATGCTGAGAGCGTGACGCGAATAATTTATGCGTGGCGAATCATCCCGCACAACAAAACCGTTCCAAATTGAATTAAGATTAGCTATTTTTTTTGTGTTGTTTCGTACGACTCAAGATTTTACACTTTGAAAATGTCCAAAATGTATAGGTTTTCAATATTATCTTCACTCAAAAATTCTTCCGTATGAACTAAGGGACAGTTGGAAACTTCAGGGCTTTGCCCTGATATAAGAGCAGTCTTGTTGATAGTCTAAATTATAGTCTAAATTTTTCTTGGTAAATTTGCATCGATAGAGTTTTCTTGATAGACCTGATCGTAGAAAGAGAACAGAAGATAAGTTGGATCTTGGTAACTAACCCCCGCCCCCCATGCTACCTTGTTACGAATCTCCCACCCTATAAAGAAAGAATTGAACAGCTAAGCATGTACGAATTTATGTTAACTTTTCCCCCTTTTCCAATTAGGGGAGGGGGGATTATCAACTAAATCCGATAATTTTTTCATCTTCACTAAATGAAACCTAGTAGCAAAAAAACTTAGTTTAATTGCAATTTTTTTTAAAGTTAAAATACAAGCTGCAATTGAAAAAACTTGGATATAATAACTCATTTGAATTTAAACTACAGTAATTTTTTTGCCACTCTAGTAAAATGGTCGCATCAATTTGGAAAGCTTTTTAGTTTTAAGTAATTTGTAGCATGAAGTAGCAATTTGGGATATCAAAGTATAAACGGGACAGATCTACAAAAACTAATTTTCTACAGTAAATTTGAAAACTGAGTTTTGCTATTTGCTGAAACAATTTCAAATTTTTTTTGGATACTTTTATTGGATTTTGTTTTGGTTTTTTGGAATCCATAGCTCCCCGCACACACTATACCAAGTAAATGATGTGCGTAGCATCTAATAAAGTAAAATAACACTTATCTGGCATCAGTGCAATTTCGGACAATTGATCAGCGGACTAGTTTGCAGCTTACCCGTTAGCAGCCCGAAATATTTCAGGCGTTTATTGTTTTATTAAGCCAAAATGGCAAATTTCAAACGGAGATAATTTTTTTCTATGTTTGTGTATGTTTTTAACTTTGAGATCAGGACTTCAATATATTCCAGATTCAATAAAAAAAACTTTGTTCGAAAACAGTTTTTTTATAAGTCGATTTGGTCTGGAGAAAAAAACACCCCGAGCACAAAGATTGAGTCACTTTCTTCGAAAATCGAAACAATTAAGCAAACCCCACAGGCACAAAACACAATTTTGAAATACTATTTGAAGTTTTGAAAGCGATAAAGACTTGGTGATCCCTCGTGCCTGAAGGTCTGAATACCCGACATTGTATCAGCCAATCAGAATTGAGTGTTCATAAATTCGAAAAAAAGCTATAAAATCAACCAGCTTTGAACAACTTAAAGGACATTGATTGGTTGAGAAGTTTTATGCATCCATTGTTTATGTCATGAGAATATCCCCGAATAAGCGGCTGATTTTCTGATCTCACAAAAAGCTGAATGACAGCAATATTTCTTCCAATCAAAAGCCTTGAAGTTTTTGGTAACTCTGAGCGCTGATTGGTTGAGAAAGTTTTAGAAACTGTTCAAACTGTTTTTGGAAAAGTTAGTTCTGATAGGCTAAAATATTTTGAAGGTATTCCGTCGGCATCATAACCGGATGTACCTGAATCTGAGGCACTGTCTGCCCAACTCGTCGTCTGGATCGGCAAACACGAAGTCGAGAGACTCCCGATTACTTTTGTTTGTTTGTGTGAGGTCAAAACAACAGACAACCATAACTAAAACAATTCAAAAGTCTCAAATTGGTTTCGTCAATTGAATTCGCAATTTCTTGAAATAAGCGTTCCAATTGTATGGCGATAATTAAAAAAGAGTATTGTGTTTGCAACCTCAATAGCGCATGCTTCAATCACAGTTTGGACAAAAAAAGTCATTTTCGAACCAATTTTGGTCGCTACAGTCTAGAAATACAAAAATTTAGTCTCAATAGTCTTACCATAAAACCACAACCTTGGCCCGGGTTTTATAATCACGGTTAGACAATTGCGACCCGATTTTTGTATTTCCAGACTGTCGCGACCAAAATTCGTTCGAATTTTGGAGAAAAAAGAATCTTTTCCGGAAATACTGGTTGCCGGCAATCATTTTGGCACTTGAGTTCTCAGAATCCGAACACCAGCAGCGGGCATTAATTAAGAACGTTCATCCACGAGGAAAATGTTCAATTAACCGACGAACCGCTATTTACCCTCTGCTTAAGAACAATATGCAATTTATTTGGGTTATTTTTCTGGGCCGTGTAATGTTGCGTCAGTCTCAAACAACGAGTACGGATCATGCTGGGCCTCGAACAACCGACCTTTCGCTTTAGAGGCGGACACGTAACTTCTTTACCACCTCTCCCCTGGCATAAGCCAAAAACTGATTTCCGGTATCACTTAAACCTTCTATTTTTTTCTTTTCATAAGCAACTATTTATTGTGACATATATCTTCTTACCTATTGCAGCAAATTTTTGCATTATCTGGAACAATAACAATTTGCTTAAAATCAGACAGTAAGGAAAATGGAAATAAAAAGTAACGCCAAAGTAATCCGAACTCAGCAAACAAACGTCCAAAACTGAATTTGGTTCCAGCTCCAAGTCACATGTATGTATGTTTGAATTCAAGCTAGGATGCAAATTCCAGTTAAGAGAAACCAAATATATGGAACAACAACAGTTCATCGCCTGACTTTTGGTAATCCAAATATCGCCTATTGTTTAATACGGTTCGTCTCATTCCAAGAGGCGTTGAGCTCTTCATAAGTTTGAGCAGATTTTCTTTTAAAATAAAAGAAAGTTTCGAGTCTTAGCCAAAC